TTTCGAAAATTTTAATCTGAACATTCGATATTTGTTTTTGGTTATATGGAGTTACAATTATTCAAAGTTTTAACTATGCTGATAATGGTATAGTTAACCGTGTGGTTAACCATACGGTTAACTAACAGTTTTGATACGTTTACGGTTAACTAACGTTTACATTCATTATTATTTTTAATGATAATTATTTATTTTTTATAGTTAACTGTTATGGTTTTTAACCGTTTTATACGGTTACGGTGAAAAAAATGGTCCGGTTACGGTCTGAAATAAGGTTACGATTAGCTTTGGGTCATGTCTACTATCTTCAACTAGGCATGACCAAAAGCTAACCGTAACCGGGCAGTTACTCAACCGTGACTGTAGAAACGGTTAAAACCATTACTATTAACCGTAAAACTAGATTAGTTATGGTTAAAAATATATATTAGCCATAACCGTTAATAAACCGGAAATATATTAAAACCGTTATTTAACCGTATGTATGAGACATTTATTTAGATAAAAAAAACTACTAAAAATAATTTTATTAAATTAGTTATGATTTTTTTATTTTATAATAAGTAAACAAATATTTTTATTTGTTATAGGACTAGTAAATTCATATTATTATTCTAACAATAAAATATCGTTCATTTTGTATAATTTTAATTTTTTCATAACCATTTAATTGTCATTACATAATTTTAAATTCCATATATAATTATAATTAAAATACATTTCTATGTAAAATTTATTTCTACTCTTAATATTATTTATTATTTATACCGCTATAATGTTTACGATCAGAGTAAATTTTTAAAATTTGTTCTGCTTTGTTTTTTTTGTACAGCTTTCTTGTTTATTCTTTTGTACAGCTTTACACTATTTCCTAACAGCTAACAGCTCCACCTAACAGCTAACATATTTAGGTTACCAATCGGACCCTATGTCTTCTGTTTCTATAAGAAATAATGTTCTATTATAATTATAGAGTATTAGATAAGGATCCGTCCGATAAACGGGTTTAATTTTCTAAAAGTAAAATCAAATTTAATAAAAAAAAATTAACACTGTTGTAAGTAGAAATTTTCTTTCACAAGTAAAAAATAATATTTTTTTTTACTCTTACATTGTTTCTTTAACCGCTAAAATTACTAATTTAAAATTATTTCGAATCTGAAAAGAATCTTTGAACTGGTTGAAAGAGTCAACCCGGTTGACTTTAAAATTTATAACCCATCTATAGCTCCGCAATCATAGACCATGTAAAGAAAACAGAAATTCAGAATCGAATAAACTGAGTGATAACTATATCGAAGGTGAGCCTACAATAAAAAAAAATGTTTAGATTCATTCACTCGCAACTATACCTTGTAGTTTTGACAAGATTCAAAAAATCTCAACTTTGTATCACTTCTCTTTTACGGCCTGGTCCCAGATTTTCTTTCTCACTGAATAACCCCATTCCAAATGGTACAGCAGTTGCAGATGCGCGAGGAATCTATCAAAAGATTTAAAAATTCTAGTCTTCACATTATCTCAAATTTTGCTGAGCAGAAACACATAAAAAGTTCAAACAAACTCGGATTCTCAGTTGGTACAACTTGTCCACCCCTTGCCTGATCAGCTCCCCGCCTTTCACTTTTCCTTCCCAAGGAGATTTCCATTGTCCTAACCATGAAGGCAATTTCCTAGCTTGAGCATCTCTAACCAATTGCTTTAACCTAACATGTCAAAAACCACTATTTCAATCTTCACTCTCGCTCATTTCCATCCCATTTAACCCAAATAAAGTCTGCTTACCACAAGGTTATGTATATTCACTGGAACATTTGACCCTTCACACCAAATTTCCCCAAAAAAAAAAAAATAGACCTCGCTAAAGAGAAGTACACATATTTCCACCCTTTTTCTGACAAAGTGGTATCAATGTTCTCAAGCAATATATCGGACCAATTATATCCAGATGATAAAGTATTGTTCTTGATTCAATTTCCTCGGGAACCGCGCAAAATAAAAAGGATTGAGAGAGGAGATGACGAACATCGAAACCCTGCAGATCCGCCTGTGAAACAACAAATAGACACAACAGACGTGTTTCTTTTGTGATCAAAACATATATTTCAGTGAGAACATATATTTTTCAGTGAGAACATATACTGATCTCTCCCGGTAATTGGGATGATACTATTATGTTCAAAACGTTAATCACTATTTCAAGGTAGAATTGAACTAATTAATGAACTTGGGAATTAACTCTATTTACCATTAGACAATCATCAATTTGGTTTATAGTTTAAATCTTACTCTTGTTATAAATATAATTTATCAGACCAACTAGTTAGACTTTTTGACATTCAATCCATCATTTTCTTATAATATGAACACAAAGTCACGAGGGGCAACGAAAAAGATCTATGAAATCGCCACGTTATGCAGGATGAAATGACAATTAAAGAAGCGCATTGTAGTTTTAGTTATAAAAATTATTGTATTATTATCCGGAATCCAAAATCTGTTAGTGTATTATGAAACATGTTAAAAAAACGTTTTATATTCCAATCATTGATTTTTCGTATCGGAATTCGTTTTACCCGTAAAATAATTAAAGACGACAATTTCTTTTCTAACGTAACTTAAATAATAAACACATATACATCTTTGTAAAAGAGTTGATGAAGATTTACAAAATTTAGATTGCTCGAAAACTAAGAAGATGTGTGTTTGGTAAATTTGAGAGGATGAAGATGATATCAAGGAATATATTTATAGAGAAATATTTTTGTAGGGTTCCGTTTAATTTTAAAATTTGGATTGCCTTCAAAATTTGAAAAATTAATTTATTGTTGATTTTATGATAGATTTAGTTTTGAGAATTAATTTTATAAATGTAGTTTGGATTTATGAACCTAGGAAAATTTGTACTTACAAAAGTTATAAAAATATATTAATATATTAATTTACATGAATTATAGGCTTACATGTTTGAGTTGTTAAATATATATATATATATATATATATGTTAGTCTGGATTTAAAAATATAGACCTTAGATCAATTTAATATATATACATATACACGAATTCTTTATGTATAGATAGAAATATGATGTTTGTATTACTGATGTTTAATTAACGAAATAATTAGAATATCATTGCACATTTGTAACTAATCTAGTAATATATAGACCATTAGTTTGCTCGATTTATGAAATAAAAAATGTCTGTTTGATTTTAAGTTTAAGCTTGGACGTAGCATGTCTTAAATTTTAATATTAGATAATACAGATTTGTTATTTGTTATGCATATATAGAAAAAATGTAACATTTTTTATGTGTTTGCTAATATAGAAATAATAAAGTTTGTCTCGTATACATTGTGTGTTTTTTTAATTTTTAATTAGAAATTCGTTTTTGATTAGTGGGATATATGGATATATGAGACTAATGGCAAATTCTGTAAATAGTCTAATAAATCTTGGGTAATTATCTAAATAGAAGTCAAATCATTGTAAGAGCGACACATCAGCGTGACAATCTTGTTAATAACACATGATGGTAAAGTTCTTTTTAAAAAATGTTTCTCTATTAATATATTAATTTACATGAATTATAGGCTTACATGTTTGAGTTGTTAAATATATCTATATATATATATATATATATGTTAGTCTGGATTTAAAAATATAGACCTTAGATCAATTTAATATATATACATATACACGAATTCTTTATGTATAGATAGAGATATGATGTTTGTATTACTGATGATTAATGTTAATTAACGAAATAATTAGAATATCATGGCACATTTGTAACTAATCTAGTAATATATAGACCATTAGTTTGCTCGATTTATGAAATAAAAAATGTCTGTTTGATTTTAAATTTTAATATTAGATAATACAGATTTGTTATTTGTTATGCATATATAGAAAAAATGTAACATTTGTTATGTGTTTGCTAATATAGAAATAATAAAGTTTGTCTCGTATACATTGTGTGTTTTTTTAATTTTTAATTAGAAATTCGTTTTTGATTAGTGGGATATATGGATATATGAGACTAATGGCAAATTCTGTAAATAGTCTAATAAATCTTAGGTAATTATCTAAATAGAAGCCAAATCATTGTAAGAGCGACACATCAGCGTGACAATCTTGTTAATAACACATGATGGTAAGGTTTTTTTAAAAAAATGTTTCTTTATTAATATATAGGGGATATGTAACAGTACTCAAGTTGATCCTTTAATTTATTTGTATGACATGAATAACACATTTTTAATCCTCCAATTAGGTCTGGGCATAATACCCGAACCCGAAGAACCAAACCGAACCCGACCCGAAAAACCGACCCGAATCCGAACCCGAAGTTTTAAAATACCCGAACGGGTTCTAAACTTCACAACCCGAAAACCCGAACCCGAACCCGACCCGAACCCCAACCCGAACAAGTATCCGAATATACCCAAAATATAAGTACATAGTTATAATATATTAGTAATATTTATACTTGTAATAATCTAAGTGCCTAAATTATTCGGGTGTTTTAGCTACTTTGGGCTAGATTCGGGTATGAAATATTTGGGTTTTATAGATTTTTTGAGTATTTTTCAATATTTTGCATAGAATTAGATACAAAATTTCTAATATTTGGATACTTCAGGTAAACCCGAATCCAAATCCGAAATACCCGATCCGAACCCGAAATTTTAAAATACCCAAACGGGTCTTAGTTTTTCTAAACCCGAAAAACTCGAACCCGAAAAACCCGATCCGAACCCGACCCGAATATCCGAACGCCCAGACATACCTCCAATAGTTCAAGATTGAACCATTAACAAGCCAAACTTCTTTAATCCAAAGCTATTAACATATAATAAGACAATATACTAAACTATTGATTTTGGGCACATTTTATCAAACAATACACTGAAAATGACGTCGAACCAAGTCATTTCCACATATATTGATATTCTACTGAATCGGTCAACCCGACTCGGTCTATGCTGATCCGGTTTGATAAACCCATTAATTAGAGAATGAAAAAAACTCCGATCCTAAGAAACGCCGGAGCTCACCAGAAAATCCAACTCTACACATACACACTTGTGATTACAACGTAATCGAATACACAAAACATTTGCATGCATATATGATATACACATATATAAAATTACATCTGAAAATTAGTTCAGTTCTTGAAAACCGGAAAAGAGCCCCGGTTCTCTATAACCGGGAATTTTTTTAGACCAGAACTGCATGAAGCAGAAGAAGAGACAGAGGAGGGATAAGTAGAAGTAAACGGTGAAGAGATGTTCTTCGAAGTTAAAGAAGATGAAAATATAGAGTCAGTGCCAACTTCTCTTTCTTCCTCCTTGATCGTGTCGAGTACCTTCGCCGTTCTTCTCCGCATCACCGTGACAAATTGCGGTGGCGCAACTTCCGTTATGAATCTTGCAAGTCGTGCGCTCGCCATGATCTTGAAATTTAGGGATTAGAGATTGGCTATGAGTAATGATGATGAGAGATAATGGACCTGGTTTGAGAGTTTTTTTTTTTATAGGTCGATACTTTGTAAAATAAAATTATTTTAAATTTTATTTTGTGGATAGTGGATACTCATTGTAGAGAAGATAATTTTATATTTTTCTCTTATTGTTATTGAATTTTTATAAGGACCAAGACTTCATAAACGTAACACGTGTGTTTTACGTTTTAAGGAGTAAACAATATAGAAAAAACAATGGTTGGTTCTAGCCTTCTAGGGGAGGTTACTTTTTTGGAGTAACGTCAAATCCTATCATTTATCAACTAATAAGCTATTAACAATGGCTGAAATTTTTGTATATGCAACCAAAAAATGAAGAAGAGAGGTTTACTCACTTGATTTACTTTCAAATCAGTATATAAAAAACAAAGTTAAGCCTGTTTATTTGATGTGTAAACTATTTTTTTCTTTCAAGATTACCACAAGATTAGTCAAACATATATAGCAAAACGTCGGCTTTATTTGAAGGTGTAATATCAGTTATAATTATATCTGAAAAAATTCAATACATTTTTGGGAGAACTTTATTCGATAGAACGAAAAGGACATGTGACATGAAAAATGTCGAAGAAGTTCAAACTTTTAAAGTTAGAAAGCAAAAACTGAAGTGGGAAGTTTAGCGGGTAGTGCCGCCCATTTGGTTTTGGTATTAATTACATTGCCGTCTAACTCCTTTAACTTCAATGACCAAAAAGCAAGTTGTGTTTTTTGTAATGTATAGGTGGAGACAAGGGAACACCTATTCTTTACATGTCATTACTCAAAACAGATTTGGAGGACTTTGGCAAAGGGAATTCTCTTAAACAGATTCTCAGAGAGTTGGAGTGAGATATTAAAGATCCTCGCAGAAAACGTTCTTGACAAAACAAAGAGCTTCTTGCTAAGGTATATTTTCCAGAATTCCATACATTCGATTTAGTGTGAACGGAATAGAAGAAGGCATAGAGAGCAGCCCTCACCGATAGAGATACTTTTGAAGATGATAGATAAAAATGTTCGAAACCGGTTGAGCACGATCCAAGGAGGTGGAGATTTGAGATTTGAAGGTGGCATCCAAGTTTGGTTTGAATCAAGGCAATAGAGTTTTCAAGATAAAAAGTTCTATTTATTTTGTTTTTTGAAAAAGTTAGCATTCTATATATATATGCATAAACTTATACGTCTATTTTTCTTTTGAATATAATTTAACATTAATTCAAAAAAAAAAAGCAAGTTTCGTCGTCTTATATATTGTAAACCTGTCTAAGAGGGTAATTAACTAATTATTACTCAAAAATATGAAACATGTATTGATAAATTAAACGTTCACATAAAAAATAACACGTCTAAAGAAAAAATCACTAACAAATACTATACGTGATGAGAAAATTCGTCCAAGAAAACATTTCGTCTATCACATATTCACATTTATGTTCTTTAGTCTTAAAGATTGTGGGAGGGGCTGGATTAGGCCTGAGATTATTATCCGATATCCGCGGATATCCGTATCCGTATCCGTTTTTTTATCCGAAAAAACGGATATCCGGGAAAACGGATACGGATACGGATAATAAAATAACGGATATTCCGGATACGGATACGGATACGGATAATGTTAATTTTAAAAACGGATAACGGATATCCGGTTATTTTGTATTTTTATACGAAAATACGGTATTTTTATACGAAATACAGTATTTTTATACGAAAATACAGTATTTTTATATGAAAAAATGATTTTTTTTTTTTTGCATGTCTACGGATATTTGCGGATATCCGGATTTTTAACGGATATCCGGATCCGGATACGGATACCAAATTGGCGGATAATACGGATACAGATATCCTAAAAAAACCGGATATCCGCTCCGTTTACAGCCCTAGGCTGGAACAATTGATATCTTTTGTCGAATAAAAGCTTAAATGATAAGTCGTCGTAATTAGTCCAAAAACCATATTTTTCACTCTCTATCTTTTAGAATTTGTCTCCATATAATTGTTACTCTATGCATCTAATTATTCTTAATCGAGTACAAGTAATATTATTATCGTAGGCAAATTTTTTGCTATGAACGGAAAATATTGCAATCACAAATCATATAGTAATAGAATTACTGAGTTAACCGTCGCAAATAATACGATTTTGTAGATCAAAAATGACGTTAACACATTTAATTTTTAATATAATTACTACTATACCCGTGTACAAAAGGCAAGACAAGTCAAAAATAAATTAATACAACAAACTACAATAGCGATTAAATTGTCAAAGAAATCCAACTAATAGGAATATGATGGTCCATGGCCCATCATATTCCTATTACCAACTTTCTTGAAAGCTTTGTTAAATCCTAATGCAGTGTGTAACCAGTAGACTGGGGCACATTTAAGTATTTAAGAATCACAGTGCCTTGAAGGCAAAACAATTTTGGTGGTGTCTACATTTGAAATTTCACTTGCTTGCCCAACTTCATTATTTGGACCAGCTTATACCACATAAAGATAGTTACAAATTATGTTGATCTTGTGATATCTATTATACATATACGGATCGACTTAAATCTAGGACGACGTACGAATAGGGAAATGTTAAAGGATATGGTGGTCATACACATAATACGTGTAACACCCTGAAGATCTGAGGACCACGCCATATCTATCATCTGATATATGCTTGAGCTTAATTTTTTTTTTTTTTTTTGGTTTTCAATGCTTCAGCCTAAATTAGTATATGATTTGGAATATACCTATTTGTGCCCTTATCTCAATACCTCAGTGAAAGCCAAAAGTCGTCACTGTTATAAACGGACATTTCTCACGTTTGCCGTCAGAGACACGGCACAATCCACCGGCTAAAGAAAAGAGAGTTTTCAAGCTTTTTAATTTGCCATCAATTTTTGCCCTAGTCGAGACAAAGGTTTTACAGAAACCACCAAACTTCTTCTTTTTATTTTCTATATTTGGAGGGTCCCTTGCCCACAAAATATAATTCCGAAAATGAAACAACATTTAAAGCGTAAAAAGAGCACATCATGTACTCTAGCCATCGGCCTTTTCACGCGGTTGCTTCGCTAACTAGACCGTAAGCATGACAGATACAATGAACTTAAAGTATAGCTAGAGACTTAGAACAAAAGATAATTCTGATGAAACATGGGACTATGGGACGAACATTATATTATATATGTTGGGAGACCAAGAAGAGAGACATATCTCGTGGGAATTCATTTAAGCTGCAGTTTTATGATTGCAAAAAAAAAGCAAATAGCTGACCTAGCATTTGAAGATATTAAGGAAGCTTCTTGAGGTTTGGAGAATTAAATTCTTCTGAAAATTGAATTGTTTCGGATACAAATCAGTTACACATAACTTAAAATTTACATATTTTATATTTATGAGATAATGCAGCACGTCGTTGCTTAAATCATAAAAGGCCATGTTAAAAACCAATTGTGAAGACAAATGTAAACAACTTGCACCAATAAATGTCTTCTTATCTCGAAATGAAATATGAAAATTCTTTGATGTATATTTTTCATAAGTGCTGTCCTTTTTTTGGTCCTTAGCATTGGACGTCTATTATTCAGTTTTTGTTATTAGAAAAATGCATCCTTTATCCAAAATTTTTATTTTAAAATGACAAGTATTAAGTGATTGTTTTCATTTTTGTAGTCTATCCAATCGTTATTTGGGGAGAAAATTTTCAAAATTGCATTCCAAAAGTTGATAAAACTACACATTTAATTTAAGTATATATCATTTTGATACTTTTTTTGTTGTTCAAACGATTGCATTCATATTAAATCCTCAAAAGAGGAGAATCCATACAAATTAAACTGAAAAATCACAATGAAAACTACACATTTAATTTAACGATTATTAATTAATTTTCTTTGATGAAATTGAGTTTTATAGAGTTTACATATGTTACGTTGCTACAAAATAGTTTCACTTTTAATATTCTACTAAAATAAATTGGACTAAAAGGAATGAGGGCATTCTCGTCTATGCAACATCTATATAAACTGAGAAACCCATCTTCCAAGTCAACGACACCCAAAACAAAAGAAAAAGCTTCACTAGTCCTAACTCTTTTAGTTCAGGCTAAGGAACACAACACAAAACCCTTTGATAAAAATGGTTGATACCCAAAACACCCTTTTCGTCTTCCGACAAGACCAGCAGGTTCTTGCACCTCAACCTCGGACTCCATTCTCAGCCGTGACTGCGCACCGTGCCACAGCCATACGACGGTGCCGCCTCATGATCTCTGTCACGACCCTCGAAATGATCCTTGAGGAAGAGATAACACCAGAAGAAGGTCATCCAAACATTACCCCTGCGATAGATTCTCTTGCGGTGGTGTTTCCGGTGACCTCTTGTTTCTAGGACATCAAGAAACAAGTCTCTTTTCTGTTTAACCGAAGCTGCAAGTACTCTTGATGATCATTCACCACAAATATATGATTTTCGTGTAATAGTTAAGTTAGTGTCTCATGCCGTTTATGGGTTTGTTTTCAGAAGTCTCTTCAAATTTTCTTATTTTGTAGTTTACACCGGATAATAATTAATCTTGTGAAACTGTTGTTTGAAAATATGTTCTTATTGGTTTCACAACCGAAAGAACATATTTTTTTTGGTGAATTAATAAGAAATTACTTCTGTATTCTTATTAAAAATTTATGTAATAGGTTTACTGGTTAAATGTTATTGAGAAAAAAAAAAACGTTTGGGAATGTACTTATTCTTCTTTTGTCCCACATGCTTCCATGTTTTTATCTTTTTTGCCATGGGACCATTTGTATAGGTCTATAATCTTTGATTGTAAACCTAAACTATTTTCATTTTTAATGAAATATTTACATTCTTAGCAAAAAAAAAATGTTTATTTCTTGGATTACAATGTAAATTGCGTAAAAGGTATGAACCGGTAATTCAGACGGTTTATTGAACCGGAAGTATAATGTCACCAAATTACCGGTTTGATCTGATTTAAATCGTTAAACCTTTTCTCTAACATCACAAGCTCGACTGTTCTGTCTGTCCGCCACAGTTCTAAAACCCTAATCTCACAAAACCCTTCTCCCTCCCTTGGTCCGCATCTCTCTTTCACTGCTTCAATGGCGTATTTTGAGCGTTTTGAAGACATGTGCGACTTGAGATTGAAACCCAAGATTCTCCGAAACCTTCTGTCCGAATATGTTCCCAACGAGAAACAGTCTCTCAGCAACTTTCTATCACTCTCCAAGGTTGTTTCAACCATCTCCACTCACAAGCTCTTATCTGAGTCTCCTCCAGCTTCATGCTAATTCGGAATCAGCCGTTGATGATTGGGTTGCTAGATTATTGGCTTTGGTTTCTTCTGATATGGTACGAAATCTGTCTTCAATAACTCTGTTTTTGGAATCAAGTTACTTTATGTGAAAGTTTTCGACTTTGGTGTTAATCTGTGGGAATTTTGTCTTGTTGTTGATATAGCCAGATAAAAGCTGGGTGGGTATTTGTTTACATGTCAAGAATGCAGCTCAGATCGTTTCTTTAAGTCATACTCTGGTTGGTTTAACAGTTTATTATCACATCTTAAGGTATGTATGTTTTGTTTTAATCAGAATCCAGCAAGTTCTAGAATTGTCCGAGTGGCTTCATGTACCTCAACCTCTGATCTCCTTACAAGGTCTTTGAAAATTTGAATCTGTTCTACTAGGTTTTTCCAATTTTTTACTATTCGTTATCTTCAATTTCCTCTGTTTCTTGTTTGATAATGAATTCTATGTTCATCAGATTGATTTAGTTTTTAGAACTATGAATGATGTACTCTGCGGAGGCTGTTATTTTAGCTAACCTATCTAACTTCTTGTACTTGTATTGTTAAATGCTCGGTATTTGTCTAATGAGACTTTCACATTGCACATCATTATTCCACTCTTATGTTTTCCTTGAGATTGCCTTTCAAGCTTTTTGTAACAAGGTTTTTGGGAATCTAAGATGCTTTCTTATTTATATTCAATCAGGCTGTCTAGATTTTCGAATACGAAGAAAGATGCAGTTTCACACGCTTCGAAACTAATCCTGCCTGGATGAAGATTCTTCAGAAGCACTATTGGTAAGTGCCACATTTAAGAAGACCTTTCTTATGATTTAGTAATATTATGTCCTCTAGATGGTGCCCTTTCTTTGTGGAGATTATTTTTATTCATTCACACTCTTGAAGCCAACCTGGAATTATAAAGAGAGAGTTGGCTTCATTCTTATGATCTTGGTTTCATTCCAAGACTGTCCTACCACTTTAATATATATGTTTAGCATCTAGAGTTCCTCTATATGAATTACATTTAGCAGAATCATAACCTACTAGAACTGCTGATTGCAATAACTTCTTTGTTCTTTTTATTTGTGTGCCGCTATAGAGTTTCCCTGGACCCTGATAGAACACGGGGACATGTATTGGCCTGCTAATTGAAAATAATAAATAAAGTGTTGTTAATTGTTCAATTAACCCCACATGCGTGCCATGTGGCGCATGTAAGGACAAAAAAAGCTTTCTTTCTCTCTCTCTCTCACTCGCGTGTAAGGACAGAAAAAGCTTTCTTTCTTTCTCTCTCTCTCACTCTCCATTCCATCATCTCTTTCAATCGAAATAGATCCAAATCTCTTTCTTTCTAAGAAGTTTAGGGATTTGATTATGGTGGATAGAGTTTTAAGGGTTTTGGAGATCCAAAGTCTCTTTCTTTCCAGAGACAAGGCCAGACTTAATTGGTGGTATACTGGTATGTTCTGTTCTCTCGCTCACTCTCTGTCTCTATCTCTAATTTGGATCTCTCTCTTTTCTTGTTTTTGGAGGCTCACCGATCCGTAGTTTCCTTGTCTTTGAGAAAGATTGTTGTTACTTGCAATTTCTTATGCCTTTCTTTTTTTTCTTTTCCGCTATCTGCCGTTTCCCTTGCTCTCTAGTGGTGCGAGTCATGGAAAAGTTTGCAGAAGCGTCAAAAGCTTGAGGTTGATAACACTATCTGTCTTATTGAAATTTCTGATCTTCCTCGTTTGAGCTAGTCGCCAAGTTCTGCTACACACTCACTGCCATGAGATCCTCGAGTATCCTGATCAATTGAACACTACCAAGAAATGCATCGAGTCACTATCCATGAGACCGTTGACTGATCGAGGTAAGAAAAAGCTAGTACCTTTCTTTAAACTCGTTTTTTCAAAACAAGTGTCATTTTTACCAAAATTTTTAAATAGTTGTACCTTCTGTCTTACTTGTAATAAAATAGTTTCCTCTTTGCTGATGGTCTTCTCATCTTCTTCTAATCGTTCTGATCTTCTCCAATTTGCAAGTAATTCCTTTCGTAGCTTAGAGAATATAGATATAATTTTGATCTTTTGGTTTACCTCTTTCTTGCTCCGGATTCATGAAACCAACATTGTCTGGAAGAAGAATTGTTACCAATTGTGCCAAAATTCCAGCAGAAGATTGTTCTAAAAGTGTCTGCTAATGGTGTAAAAAACAAGGACCCGTCTTGGGAAGACTCATCCTCCTCAGTCTTCTCTTTTTGAATTCAGCTGACTTCGTGATTAGGTCATAATACTTGATGATGCTCTGCTCATTTTGACCAATTGAGAAAGCCAACCCCTTGGCCCTCACACCCACCACCAACTTGCACTTCACTCTACTTGCTAGGGAGAAGCGATACCACGATTTTTTATCCTCTGACCCTTCCACTGCCTGCTTACCCTTGTCACCTTCCCCAATTGTCCCAATTACTTTCTCAACTGCATGGTACACAAGCACATTCCATTCCTTCATTGGTAGGGAATGTGTCCTCGTTACCTAATTCATTGATAACATTATCTCTTTTATACTATCACGGATCTGATTCATCTCCTCAAAATCTTCAGTACTAACAACAATCTTAGCTTCATCTACAAAGTCCTCCACATCCACAAAAGCTTCCTCCACAGCCTCATCTCAATTGGTCACAACTCTTGAGAAGCTGAGGAAGATGAGGCTGTGGAGGAAGCTTTTGTTGATGTGGAGGACAACAAACCGACCTTTCTTTTTTTTTTCTCTTTTTTTTTTTTTTTTTTTTTTTCTTTTTCTTGTTATAGTTTCCACCATAAAATAATTAATCTTGTGAAAGTGTTGTTTAAAAGTATCTACTATACATTTTTGCAACACTTTTTTGGGTTCCTAATCGGGTCAAATTTTGTTTAATTTTGATCCGGAAATCTTCAATCGGATCTTTCCTTATTTTTGACAAAACTAAAAAACGAAAATTAATCAATAAAATCTAAAAAATATATATTTTCTCAACTAATTACTATACCTAAACTCTTTATTTATGGCATATTCTCTACAATTTTTATAGATATTATTTAATGCTAATATAACAAATTTGAACTAATTTCCTAAAACCTCTCTACCTAATTAAAACATAAATATATGATTCTCATTTCACTTTTATATGATCTTATATTTATATTATTTTGAACTATTATAAAATATATATATACTTAATAAAAAAATTGATTTTTTTCTGCATATGCTATGATTCAAATTTTTTAAAACGGACATATATTACTCAATCGATGAAGAAAAAAGTATGTGTACAATCTATATTAACATTTTTGAAAAACAAATTTGCGCGTTTAATCAGGTCGTATTTTTTTTTTACTCTGACCCGGAATTGAGTCATTCAGATATTTTCTTAATTTCTACAATTATCTAAAACTGGACAATATACCACGGTGAAATCTTAAAATTAACAAATCGAAATACAATTATTTAGTATTTTAATATACATTTTTTAAATATTTTTACGGGTTGGTCTAAAAACACACACTAATTTGAAAATATATATATTATAGAAACTATTTGAAAGCAAACTTTTAAATTGACTCGAATTATATGTCTTTTAAATAAAAGTGTTATTAAAAGAAATAACAAAATGATGTTTAATTTTACAGGACATGATTATATGGTGGGACGGGTCGGATTTGGATTGATATTAATACGGGATAATATATCACGGGTGAAATCCTGGGATTAACAAATCAAAATACAATTTTTTTTTTTTGTCAAACATCAAAATACAATTATACAATTTTAAACACTAAACAAAACAAATACAACTTAAAATTTTCATTTTTAGTTACAACGCATGTGACTCGCAATGTACAACAAAAAATATTATATACAACAAATTCATCGGTTTATACAAAAACAAAAAAAAATCAAATGATTAACCCGCGGTGTACCGCGGGTAACAATCTAGTGTTCTTATTAATCTCACAACCGAAAGAACATACCTTTTTTTTGTTGAATTAATAAGAATTTACTTCTGTCATATTCTTATTAAAATATTTAATTGTTAGTTTTACCGGTTGAATGCTTAGATGTTATCTTTAAGGTAGTTGAAGACTTGAAAGTTTTGTAAACCAATAAGATATATATAATTTCTTAACCAAAATTTGAATTTTGATACTTAGATATAAATTGATATTTTGATATAAAATTAAAGCAAATTTTTTTTAATTTTGAGGTGTAGACCCGAGAAAAAGAGGAATAAAAAGAGATTTTGCCTCAATGTTTCTATTTTGTTAAGTGGCTACTAGGTTTGAAAAAAATATTTGGAAACGGAAAACAGAACCGAAATTGATCTTAAAAAGCAAATTGAACCGAATTTGGAATCGACAAAATAACGGATCCTAGACTCATGTATCTGAAAAAATCATATTCGAACCGAGAACCAAATGAGTATCCAAAGTATAATTATATACCAAAAATAGTAATTATATGACTTGATATAACCTAGTCACTTAAAATTACAATTATAACTCCAAAAATATCAATCATTTTTAGACCAAAATAGCCAAATATATCATAAACTTTTACGTATATTTATCAAAATTTAACTATTTTTAAATTTTTCCAATATTTTGGAGACATGAAACTAAACCGAAAATTATATACCAAAAATAGTAATTATATTTAGACTAATATAACCCAATTACTTAAAATTACAATTATAACTCTGATCATATTTAGATCAAAATTACCAATATATTCTAATCTTATAGGTATATTTATCAAAAAATTTAACTTTTTTTTTTTTCCAATATTTTGGATACACGAAACCAAAGAGATCCGAACCCATGTACTGAACCAAACCAAATTAACCTCGAATCAAACTTTTAAAATATTGAAATAGTTCCTAAAATCCTCTAACTGAATTACCCAAGCCCGAATGGAAGTGATCCGAACCCATGTACTGAATGTCTAGGTAGGGGTGGGCCGGATCCGGATATCTGGCTTTTTTAGGGTATCCGGATCCGTCTTTTCATTATCCGGATCCGGATCCACTCCATCCGGATATCTGTAAAAATAACCGGATATCCGGATCTGAGTTATTTTTATATAAATTTTTTTTATTAATATAAAATTAAAAAAATATTTAAAAATAAATAATTTAATATAAATAATTAAAAATATTATTAAAAGTATTATTATTATATAAAATATAATAAAAATTAATAATAAAATTTAAATAATAGTAATAAAATATTTAAAAATATTATTATAATATAAAATATTACAAATCCGGATATCCAGTTTTAATTTTTCTATTATCCGGATCCACTTTTTCATTATCCGGATCCGGATCCGCCCCATCCGGATATCCTATTTTTCAGAGCGGATCGAAACGGATCTCGGATCCCGGATAATTGGTCTCAAGAGCTATGTCTAGGTCTAGCGGCTACATTAGACATCCGGGTCCGGGCTAACACAAGACAAGTATATCCGGTTTAATTAAACCGATTCAATTTGATTCAACCAATAAAAACCGAGCCTGATTCGTTATTCGTTAAACCTTTCTCTCTAACAAGCTCAAATCCTACGACTGTTCTGTCTGTCCGCCACAGTTCTAAAACCCTAATCTCTCTCTTCATCCGCATCTCTCTTTCACGACTTCAATGGCGTCTTTTGAGCGTTTTGACGACATGTGTGACCTGAGATTGAAACCTAAGATTCTCCGAAACCTTCTGTCCGAATATGTTCCCAACGAGAAGCAGCCTCTCACCAACTTTCTATCACTCTCCAAGGTTGTATCAACCATCTCCACACACAAGCTCTTATCTGAGTCTCCTCCAGCTTCAATTGACCAGAAGCTTCATGCTAATTCGAAATCAGCCGTTGATGATTGGGTTGCTAGATTATTAGCTTTGATTTCTTCTGATATGGTACCAATCGAAATCTTCAATATTGTTTTCTTCAATACTCTGTTTTTGGAATCAAATTACTTGATGTGAAAGTTTTCGACTTTGGTGTTAATTTGTGTTACTTTTTGTTGTTGTTGTTGTTGTTATAGCCAGATAAAAGTTGGGTGGGTATTTGTTTGATTGGAGTAACATGTCAAGAATGTAGCTCAGATCGTTTCTTTAGGTCATACTCTCTTTGGTTTAACAGTTTATTGTCACATCTTAAGGTATGTTTTGGCTCTCTCTATGGTGAGATTTGTTCCATCTTCTACCAATTTGTTTTGAAATTTTAATGTTTTGTTTTTGTTTTAATCAGAATCCAGCAAGTTCTAGAATTGTCCGAGTGGCTTCATGTACCTCAACCTCTGATCTCCTTACAAGGTCTTTGAAAATTTGAATCTGTTCTACTAGGTTTTTCCAATTTTTTACTATTCGTTATCTTCAATTTCCTCTGTTTCTTGTTTGATAATGAATTCTATGTTCATCAGATTGATATAGTGTTTAGAACTATGAATGATGTACTCTGCGGAGGCTGTTATTTTAGCTAACTTATTTAACTTCTTTTACTTCTATTGTTAACTGTTTGGTTTTTGTATAATGAGACTTGTCATATTGCACATCATTATTCCACTCTTATGTTGATATCATTTCCTTGGGATTGCCTTTCAAGCTTTTTGTAACTAGGACTTTTGGAAATCTAAGATGCAGGCTGTCTAGATTTTCGAATACGAAGAAAGATGCAGTTTCACACGCTTCAAAACTAATCCTGCCTATCATTAAATTATTGGATGAAGATTCTTCAGAAGCACTATTGGTAAGTGCCACATTTAAGAAGGCCTTAAGTTTTTCCTTTGATTTAGTAATATTATGTCCTCTAGATGGTGCCCTTTCGGTTTGAAGATTATTTTTATTCCATAACACTCTTAAAGCCGACCTGGAATTATAAAAGTAAAAGTTAGCATCATTCCTATTGGTTTTGTGCCAAGACTGTTTTACCACTTTGATTTAGATGTTTAACATGTAGAGTTATGCATTAGTTCC